GCAGGTCTTCGGAGGTTGGGCCTCGTTACGAACTCCATCCAACCACTGTGGCAGGTGGGCTTCTCCGCCACCGCCCCTCTCGAGCGTCACATGGGCCGCCTCTCCGTCATCCTCCACACGCGCGGCCTGCGCCGTTCACCGAATGTGCCGAGACCCCGTACTGAAATTCCTGCGCGCCGCCAACCCCCTTCGTTCACGACGAGCAGAACGAGACAACGAGTCAGCATCGACGGTACGAACATCGCACGCACAGAGACCCAATCGGTGCTATACTCCTATAGTACAATTTGCTCCCTCTCAAGTCTCACTCATCTCTCATTACGTGCTCGGATCAACGACACACATCATAGGATCGTACTACAAACGGCAGAGAGCGCAGGGGAGACCAGCACCAGCAGGGGCTTGACCGATAAACATCCTTCCGTCGTTGATCATCGAGCGGACAACATGACACCGATGCTCAGAATCCCTGAGACGGACGGACGCCATGATGCTCTTCTTTGGCTCCGCTCGCTCCAATTCAATCGTTAGGTAGAGAGTAGTAGAGGAGACCTCTCTTTACGTCGGACTAGTGAATATGGGCGCGCAGAAAGGTGCGTCGTCGCATGTGCCCGTGTCTCTTATCCACGGCCCTCTTTACGCATGCATGCACACTCTGGTCGTGTCGGCCTCTGTACATGTCGCCGCCCCCCTGCTGCTGCTAAACTCCACTCTGATCCACGCAATGCAAAACGCAAGTGCATGCATGGTACTACTTGGTACCAACTCCCTCCTTTAGTTTCTTCTCGCCTTTTGATTTTCTGCATGGACTGCAGAGCTAGTAGAAGATGATGATCATTGCCGGGGATGGTCACTGACTGACTGTGTCGATTGATAGATCGATCGATCGATCTCATTGCGTGTGTGTGTGTGTGTGGATCGAGTTTTATCTGCGCATGCAATCATCTACTACTAATAATAGGCTAGACGTACACCTTCGACAGTGAGAGTAGATCTCCGGTTCACCTCATCCTCAATCAAATCCAAAAAGGGAGATCTAGTCGTAAGACATGCCGGGCCTCACCACCAAATCGTGCATTGGATAGCACAAATGCTTTGTGTCGACGCATTCGGTGGCAAGCAGAACATTCCAGGGAGGGTTTTGCCGCGTGCGCTTACTGTTTGGGTGCGCCCCGGCCCACAGGTTAACTCACCGAGACAACCACAAGTACTCTCCATTTCGCCCATACGTATATGCTTCAAGCATGGTGTACATTTTCTTGGTCTCTCTTTGTTCTTTCAACTTAATTTGGACATATATATGTATACTCATTTGGACTAGTGCAGTAGTTAGTACTACTATTTTACTAGTATATTGTACTGTGCAGTGTGAACAGTGACAGCAAGTAGATTATCCAGTACGGCAAGGTCGTCTAAAGACGACTGAATAAGTATCTTTCAGTGGAATTGAACAGGATACCCTCAAGGATTTATGCTTAGCTAGCTGCCAAGGAATGAACAAGCGTGCTAATTAATTAGTCACAGGAGTCTGACGATGCTTCCACTGTACACAGTCTACAGAAAAAGTTGTCCGACGTCGTACATTTGTACCATGTAACTAGCCAGGCAATTTCTATCGCTTTCTAGCTAGGTTTCAAAAATTTCTATCGCTTTCTGACGACGAATTTTCCCCATGGTTAACCAGCGGCACGACGACAAGTGTCTGATGAAGCAATGTCGACGAACGACGCATCGTTCGTCAAATTCGAATTAACTACATGCTAGTGTGGAGGGAGCGTGCGGTGCTGTCTTTTTCTATTTCTGCATGCATATATATGGTCGCGATCGATAATGACATCGTTAAGCGTATTATATGGGGTTAGATAGTTACTATTTGGTCCAAAATCTCGCTTCGAAAACAAAGTTATCTTGGTTGTCAATTTGTCATTGTGTAATTGTTCGTGCCAAACCATATGATCAGTCAAAGTGGACTTCACCAATCACCGGCTTGGTTGGTAAGCCTGATTACTCTGAACTACTCGCATGGTTACCTCGCTATTTCTAACTTGGGATTGCCGTCGAGTCAATCACGAAATGCGCATATCGCTAAGCATGCGAGATGTGCAGTTAGACATGAAGTGCTAGTGGTATGCATTTTCAATCTGCATAGGTTTTCCTCGAGATGTTTGGATTAGATTTGTAATCTTCTTCAGAATAATCTTTCTGAAGAGAAGGATCTACATACAGAATTTCCCGTGTTATTCCTTATTCGTTATCAGGATGACTTTGACACGCCGATAAAAAAAATCGCACTCATCTCAGTCATGGGAGAGGAGGAATTACGGTTAGACATTTCTAGAGTCTAGACTCAGCTTTCGGTGCAGACTAACCTTTTTTTGTCAAATATAACGCTCGATCTAGCAACCATACCAACAGCAAATATATTCCATTGTAACAGGAAATGGTAGCTTAATAGAAAGGCTAGCTCAAGCTGCTTGACATGGAAAACGGGAAGTAACTTCGTACGAGAACTTTTGCTGTCAAGTCCAAATTAATTCCTTCCCCGGGTTAATGATGCTCCAATTAAACAATTTCCACATGCTCAGGACATATGGATCGAATCATCACCACGGATCACAACCGAGGCTTCGTTTGCTGATGCGGGGGTAGATAATGTTCTTTTCTTTTTGACGGTCCCAAATGATTCTACCTGTAACAAAAGGTTAACAAGTCTGCACACGACCAAAGTCCAAAGCGGCAGCAGGAGCAGCGGTACCTAACACCATGCAAAACACAACACACGGCCTCCCTTTTCTTTTCTCCACTTTGCAGTATATTTTTTTGACAGCAAACGACGCTTTACAGTCTTACAGAGGCCAGTGGCAGGGGCAAAGCAAAGGAGGAGCTGCCAAAACGACCGTCATGATCACGAGCTAGAGGGTCACCGGGTCGTCGTCCCCCGAGAAATTCCGGGGCATCGGCAGCACGGGCGTGCGTGGACAAAAAGGGTCTAACAAACGTCTGTTCTCTCCCCCTTCTGGTTCACGTGACAGAAACCAACCCCCGCTTTGCGCCCGTCTCGGCGTCTCCCCTGTCCAGCCAAAGGGGAAGCTTCCCGGCACTTGCTCCGTCTCCGGCCGGCACGCAGCCGCAACACGCACCACCAGCGTCGCCACAGCTCTAGCTCCTCCCCTTCCACTGCCAACCCCGCACGCCGCACGGTCAGAAACAGGCTAACCCTCTCGTCTCGGTGTGTGGTGGTGTACGTACGCGATCGGTTGCACGCGCGCGCGCGCGCGGAGGCGGACGCGGTGCAGCCAACCCAACGACGAGATCGGCGGTCTCGCGCGCGCGCGGCGCACCACGCCACGCTCACGCAACGCACTCTGCATTATTCGACCCGGCCCGTAATCAATCATGCAGAAGCGAGGGCGGCAACCGCGCGGGAGTGGGCGGTGCACGTCAAAACCACCTGCTGCTTGCGCGCACGAGCCGCGTGCGCGGGGGGCGCCGGCCGGCAGGCAGGCAGGCGGGGGCCTGATCAGCCGACGGGGTATCTTCTCGAACGACAGGGCGGCGAGAGGCGGGAGCCATGCCATATTCCATTGCGCAGTTGCGAATAAAAATGTGCGGGCAGGGCGGTGATTCGAAGTTTCCTTTAACGCGAACCGGATCCCGGCCGGATCATGCAGCACACACACACAACCTCGCGCGGCGAGTGAGCGAGTGATTGGCACAAAGAATATCTGACTGACTGCCATCCCATCCCATCCCACCCATCCAGGCAGGCAGGCAGGGATGGCCAGTCCCGTCGACCTATCATCTCCTCTCCCCCCCTGACCATGTTACAACTTGCGACGGCTTCACGTGGCCGCCAGCCCGTAACCTGAGGTGAACTCTAGTCTAATCCCTCTCCCAGCACACGGCCGGCGCTCGCTCTCTCACTAGCTAGCTAACCTCCCCCAACCACAAAGATTCATTGAATGCGGCTGCCTCGCTCGCTCGCTCGCTCTCGCCGCCCGCCGGCCAGGTTAGCCGCGCACGCGCGCCATCAGCGGCTGGCGCGCGGCCGTTCCGTGATTCCGTCGCGATCGGTTGGGTGCGCGCGCCCGTCGCGTCCCAAGGGAAAGTTTGGTATCGCCTTTCCCGAATCAGCCGAGCTCGTGGCCCGCTTACGTACGTGCGCCTGTGACCTGTCTGCCCGCGCCGTGTGCGCTGCATCTATCCATCGGTCGGCTCGATCCGTCCTCCGTTTCGCGTGGTAGTATGCCCGTGGCGCACGGAATTCCGTGTCGAGCTAAAAGCGGCTCGACAAAGGCTTGCGCGCGAGAAAGTCGGGGATAAGGCCTGGCTTTCACTCGCTCGCTCGGCCAGTATTAGCTGGCTGCCTAAGCTCCTCCCTCTCCCCTTGCAAACGAAACGGACAGGCCATGTTCGAGAAGAGGCAGGCAAAGAGGCGACAGGGATTTTGCCTTCGATTCAGCAGTTCGCAGAGGCGCGGGCTCTGCTAAATTCGGGCAGCGTTTCTGCCGTGCTCGCCTCTGCCTCTCTCTCTCTCATCAGAGAATCTATCGCCGATAGCAACGCGAAACAGATCAAGCCCGATACTAGTAATTTGTTAATCGCGTCCGTTAGTCTACGCTTCCGGCCGACCTTACACCAACCCGACGACCAAGTTGCACGAGACATACACCGTCCACGCATCTGTCAATGAACTACTACTAGTAACTACTACCGCGTGGTGAAGTGAAAGGGTGAAACTGCTCGGGTCGGCTTGGCTTGGCTTCGGCCAGCTAGCCGCCACGTCTCCGCCGGTTTTAAGTGTGAGATCCGACGTGGAGGCCCCGGCCGCCCCCACCGTGCCGGCCGTTGTCCACCTCCCGACGGGACACCGGGCCCCGCCGTTGCCGCGCCGTGGACCGACAGCCACTGACGTCACCCCATGTCCTTCTTCTCGGCTAGCTCTTCTCCTCCTCGCCCGTGACCAGCAGCTCGCCTCGCCCTCTATAAATACCCGGCCATTCGAAGGCGTTCCGACTCAGGCCACACACCACCAACACAAAACATTTCCTTGTCCCTCGCCTTCCTCGCCTCGCCTCGGCTCTCACACGACGCCTCTTCCTCTCGCTACTACTAGCTCAAGCTAAGCTAGCAAGAGCATTCCTTGGGCTTTTTTTCTTGTTCGGGGTTGAGAGGCAATGGCGGTGATGACTGATGTGTCGACCACCGGGACGGCACTCCGGACCCCGGCGGCGGGGGCGGTGAAGGAGGGCGACGTCGAGAAGCTCCGGTTCATCGACGAGATGACCACCAACGTCGACGCCGTGCAGGAGCGCGTCCTGGGGGAGATCCTCGGCCGCAACGCCGGCACGGAGTACCTGACCAAGTGCGGCCTCGACGGCGCCACCGACCGCGCCGCCTTCCGGGCCAAGGTTCCGGTGGTGTCGTACGACGACCTGCAGCCGTACATCCAGCGCATTGCGAACGGGGACCGCTCGCCGATCCTGTCCACCCACCCCGTCTCCGAGTTCCTCACCAGCTCCGGCACGTCGGCCGGCGAGCGCAAGCTGATGCCCACCATCATGGACGAGCTCGACCGCCGTCAGCTGCTCTACAGCCTCCTCATGCCGGTCATGAACTTGTAAGTTGATACTACTCCTATCATTGTCTCATTCTGATAGCACACACACGTACAAGAAGCAGATGATGATTAATGGCCATGAATCATTGCATAGGTATGTGCCTGGGCTTGACAAGGGGAAGGGGCTCTACTTCCTGTTCGTCAAGTCGGAGACGAAGACGCCGGGAGGCCTGACGGCGAGGCCCGTGCTGACGAGCTACTACAAGAGCGACCACTTCAAGAACCGGCCGTACGACCCGTACCACAACTACACGAGCCCGACGGCGGCCATCCTCTGCGCCGACGCGTTCCAGAGCATGTACGCGCAGATGGTGTGCGGCCTGTGCCAGCGCAACGACGTGCTGCGCCTCGGCGCCGTGTTCGCCTCCGGCCTCCTCCGGGCCATCCGCTTCCTCCAGCTCAACTGGGAGCAGCTCGCCGACGACATCGAGTCCGGCGAGCTCACCCCTCGCGTCACCGACCCGTCGGTGCGCGAGGCTGTCGCCGCCATCCTCCTCCCGGACCCCGAGCTCGCCAAGCTCATCCGCGCCGAGTGCTCCAAGGGCGACTGGGCCGGCATCATCACCCGCGTGTGGCCGAACACCAAGTACCTCGACGTCATCGTCACCGGCGCGATGGCGCAGTACATCCCGACCCTGGAGTTCTACAGCGGCGGGCTTCCCATGGCGTGCACCATGTACGCGTCATCCGAGTGCTACTTCGGCCTCAACCTCCGCCCCATGTGCGACCCCTCCGAGGTGTCCTACACCATCATGCCTAACATGGGCTACTTCGAGTTCCTCCCCGTGGACGAGACCGGCGCGGCTTCGGGCGACGCCACCCAGCTCGTGGACCTCGCCCGCGTGGAGGTGGGGCGCGAGTACGAGCTGGTGATCACCACCTACGCCGGGCTGAACCGGTACCGCGTCGGCGACGTCCTCCGCGTGACGGGGTTCCACAACGCGGCGCCGCAGTTCAGGTTCGTGCGCCGCAAGAACGTGCTCCTCTCCATCGAGTCCGACAAGACCGACGAGGCCGAGCTGCAGCGCGCCGTGGAGCGCGCGTCGGCGCTGCTCCGCCCGCACGGCGCGTCCGTGGTGGAGTACACCAGCCAAGCGTGCACCAAGCGCATCCCGGGCCACTACGTCATCTACTGGGAGCTCCTGACCAAGGGCGCCGGCGCCACGGTGGTGGACGCGGACACGCTGGGCAGGTGCTGCCTCGAGATGGAGGAGGCGCTGAACACGGTGTACAGGCAGAGCCGCGTCGCGGACGGCTCGATTGGGCCGCTCGAGATCCGGGTCGTCCGCCCGGGCACATTCGAGGAGCTCATGGACTACGCCATCTCCCGCGGCGCGTCCATCAACCAGTACAAGGTGCCACGCTGCGTCACGTTCCCGCCCATCGTCGAGCTGCTCGACTCGCGCGTCGTGTCCAGCCACTTCAGCCCGGCGCTCCCACACTGGACTCCGGCGCGACGGTCCGAATAGTCGGTCAAATCCCCACCTCGTCGTTGGACCGTGTCCAAGAATCTGAAGTAGTAGAAGCCGGATGCCTCCACCTAAAAACACTTATCTGTTATTTTTGGAATTAATTTTGATGGTTGCTGTCAACTCTGTCAGTTAGTGGCAAGAGGGTACCTCTGATGTGAGGGAGAGAACTGCAGAACGAACGGAAGAAAGTGTTGATGTAAGAGGTTACCACTAGTAGTACTGTTTGTCTGTATCAGGAATGTGATTATAATTTAACCTGTCCTCCAAAACCGTACGAGTCCTGCGCAAGATCTTGTTCCAATTATTGGCCAGACCTGGACAGCTTTTAGGCTGTGTTCGGCACAGCACTTTCAGTGGGCGCTACAGTGTTTTGCCCCCGCGCACGCTTTTCAAACTACTACACGGTGTACTTTTTTTCAAAAAGTTTCTATACAAAAGTTGCTTAAAAAAATCAAATTAATCCATTTTTGAAAAAAAAATTAACTAATACTTAATTAATCATGTGTTAATGAACCGTTCCGTTTTCCGTGTTACTGTAGCGCGGTGGGAAAACGTCCAAACGAACGCAGCCTAAGCGTAGCGATCAGTTGCATTTCCTGATTCTCCTGCCTGTAGCCTTTCCATTTTTGCTGAACCATTTCATTGAAGGTTTTCATGGGAGTTTGTTGTAGCTTCTATGTTGGGAGATTCAAGCAAAGGAGGGTAAATTTGCCGCATTATTAGCTCATGACCGTATAAGGATGAGACTGGATTGCTTTCGGCTTCTCGCCATCTCTCAACAACTACTGCTTTCACCTTAAAAAATTCTTGAAGTGCATTTGATTATAGTCTTTTAAATTATTAGCGCAAGTGTCGAGTAGATAATCTTTTCTCTGAGATGTTGACACTTGATTAAACTAACCAGGCTAGCTTAAAAAAAGTGAACTGCTGAATAATGCCAGACCGAAGCACGATCCTGCACACGGCTCGGTCGTCAGGTCTTTGCTGAGTGCTGCAAACGGACCAACATACTTTCCTGACTGTACCATCATGCTTTTGCGTGTGTTCTTCTTTCTCTTGCTTTCCTGTTTTCCACAAGTCCAAAAGCAAAACAGTTTCGCCTCTCTTATGTCAAAAGCGAGGGCGTTATTCGCAATGTAGTTTGCAAGTCGTGTGCAGTATCGCGTAGAGGCTTCAAATTCTGCTATTGGTTCAAAGTTTGCGGATGGGTCATGACCGAGAAAAATAGACGCATCCCATTCTTTGTTTGCCATATCGCCAGCGTCTAACTTCTTGCCGTCTTTGTTGGAGCAATGCAGACATGCACCTGCATGTAACAAGGCCTAAATGACGAGTTGTTTTTTAGAGAGAGCCCAAATGTCGAGTTGACAACTAGTGCTGGTCTGAAAAAAGGGCGTAGCGCTGATATACTGAACAGACAATTTGACTTGTAAACTGAACTTCCGTGCGATAGGGCCGTAAGCCTACCTGCAAATCTTATCGCAAAAAAGATCACTATCCATTCCATCGCACAGGAGGAAGCAGAACAAGAGTACAGGACTGCAAGTGTATGTTGCGTCCACTTGTAACGTGCCCGAGTATTTTTTGACTCTCCAAGAACAAAACACAAAGTCAAAGCTTTAGACTCCTCTCCGAATCCGGTGCGTCCCGCTCGTTCATCCACACGTATCACGGCCGCTGTTACGAGATCTTTGACCCCGCCACGCTGCGCACCAGACGATCCGGTAAGATCTGCTCGTGATTTGGTGGGCGGAAGACGCCTACAGTAAAAAAGCGCTCGCGATTCGGCAGTACAACGTCTCCTGCCCACCCGAGCCGCACTGTCCCGTCCCGTCCCCGGGTCAACCACCTCCCCCGCGCGCACCACGACGTTGGACCTTGCGTGTTGGTGTTGGCGGTGGTGGTGGATTGGGCTGGTTGGCTTCCACGATGGCGGCACGCGGTGCAGGTCAAGGAGGCCGGGGTCCGAGGATTCAACGGCTGCTCGCCCGTCTCGCGCCTCACACGCACGCGCGCCCGTGCGCTGCGTCGGAAACGTGGCCGTGTGGCCGAGACACAGCCACACAGGGGGCGGGTTCCCTTGCCGGAGTCCCGCGCGCGCGCCGCTCGGGCTACCTACCTAGGCGGGGGCGGCAACGAGCGATTGCGTGCGGGCCGCGGCGAGGTTTTGCAGGAGGGCGGGCGGGGGCGCGGGGCGACGTGCCGTGGTACGGCCGTGCCCGTGCGTGCTGGCGGCCGCTGCGCCTTTGACCGTTGGTCTGTGCCGCGCCGCGCCAGCTTGGTCGCTGGGGCCTGCACAGCTGCACTGTCACTCATGCGAGCGGCATGCGATGGTTGACTAGCACGAATCGTGCGGGTGTTGCAATCGGAGAAGCAGACAAGAACCGGCGCTTTGCGTGGGAAATTCGTCCCCAGGGATTCATGGACACGTCGAAGATGTATAGTAGGTCGGCCGTCAACCGAGGCACGGCTTGATGACAAACTAGAGACAAGTTGCTTGCTCAGGTGAGAGTGTGATAAACAATAAGGTCGTCGCTGACTGCACTTTGTATGCGTGTACTAGGGGTTCAGCCTCTCAGAATGTTTTGCTACAACACGTGATTGCCCCTTACAGTTAGGGTAAAGCGTTGAGTTCGTTCTAATCAATCTGCATGCCTCTATGTGCACTTGTGCATTGGTGAAAGTGATAAACTGAGCTGGATACTAGGAACTCCGGGAGAGTTTGCCAGGGTGTTGGACAGGAACGCGTGCAAGGAGGTGCCGCTGTTCCCGAGGAGCAAAAGAAAGGCTCACATTGCTGCTGGTGCCCGCTTGGCAAGCAAAGTAGAGAGCGAGGCACACACGCACGCACGACGGCGCGAGACGGTCCGGAAACGCTGCGGGGGCGCGTGGTTCATGTGGGCTCGGCCGGTCAAGGGAGAGCCGAGGCAATCCAGCTCGTCGCGCTGCCTGCCTGACTCCTCGTCATGAGGTCGCCTCCTCCCGTGTTTCCCTCGTACGGGAAACTCGATCCGGTGGTCGCCAGCGGTGGCTTCCATGAATCCATGCTCCTGTCTTCGTGGCGGCCCGCGGTTTTCCGATATTGCAGCAATTGAAATGCCTCGTGCAGCGAGGGCCCGAGCGTAACTACAGGGTATCAGCAATAGGGAACGGCCGAACGGGGAGGCAGGGGCCGAGCAAAAATTCAAAGTCCACACTCCACTACGGGCCCAATTCAAGAAGGCCACCACTGTTTTAGGTCGACTGAGCCACCTAGTTGCCACTCGACTCATGGGCTAGAGCCCTAAAGAAAACGGGAACATCGTCTACGTCGCAAAAAAAAGTACACCAAATGTCCCTTATCTTCTCACTAAATTACAAAATCGTCTCTCAACCGAAAAACTAGATATATGACATCCTTAAACTTACAAAACCGGATCACTTTAGGTCCTTAGGTGGTTTTAAACCCGGTTTTATCCAACGTGAGCCCCACATATCAGCGACTATTTCCCCTCCCCCTCTCTCTTCCTCTTTCACTCTCCTCTATCTCTCTTTCTCTCTCTCTCTCCCTCTCCACTCTTTCTCCTCGCCGCAAAGCTTGTGGCGAAGACAGGTGGCAATGGCGCTCGGTGGCCAACGTTGCGGAGACGGTGTGCGGCAGCCGCCGGTGAGCGCCGTGGCCGCCTTTCCACCACGAACCCGCTGCTGTAGCCTTTTCACCGACTAGCGGGGGCGTGGGCAACTGCGGTGTCACCGACGCAGCAGGGAGGAGGGCCGGCGGAGACCGTTGGCGGCAAGTGAAGAGGAGCTGAGCGACGGCGGCGTGGCATCAACAACGCAACAAGGAGGAGGGGCTGACGGAGAGAAGCCTACCGGCGGCGGCGGTGGCGTCTCTGACATGGCGGGGAGGATCACTAGTGAGGCAGGCGCAACTGGCTCCCTGCCACTCCTATCCCCGCTTCCCCGCCAACCGGCTCTCGAGCTCCCAATTCACAGGCTCGGTGCCGCTGCCGCTGACGTCGAGCTCATCTCTGTCGGCCGCCATTCTTCCACAATGCCATGTTGTCGCCGCGCAGGTGCTGAGCTTCCTCTAGTCTTCTCTCCCCTCAAACTGTCCGCACTACCGCCGCCACCGGCGTTCTTGGGAGCCACCCGCCGCCGGCCCACAGCCGCCAGAGTCGCGCGCCCTTCTCTGCCCTTCCTCCCCGCACACAAGAATGAGAGGAAGAAGAGAGAAAAGAAATAAGAAGTGATCTGACAAGTGGGTCCCACCTTTTTGTTATTTTATTTTTTTTGGATCGAATAACCACATAAGCGCTAGGTCAATACACGTGGGATGAAGACTTAATCAAAGGAGGCGCCACGTCAATTAAAACAGGCGACAATATCACTGAGGGACCTCGTTTGCACTGGTTTTGTAAGTTGAGGGATATGTTGTATCTGGTTTTTTATTGAGAGACGATTTTGTAATTCGGTGGCAAGATGGGACCTCCGGTATACTTTTTCCTCTACGTCGCATCATGACATGTCGCAACGTGGTGTGAACCGGTGAGCGTGCGTCCTGTGGCGACCGCCGATCCGTGAGAATGCGCATCGCGGGGTCACGCCTCGCGGGCTTTTCCTTGGCGGCTACAGGCTACTGCTGCGTAAACACGATAGGTGGCTCCAGGTCTATTTGGTTTCCACACATCGAATGTTTGGATACTAATTTAAAGTATTAAACATACACTAATTACAAAACCCATTTCATAACCTTGGACTAATTCGCGAGACGAATCTTTTGAGTCTAATTACGCTATGATTTTGACAATGCGATGCTACAGTAAACTTTTGATAATTATGGATTAAGTAGGCTTAAAAAATTCGTTTCGCGGATTAGCTCTCATTTATGAAATTAGTTTTTTTATTAGTCTATATTTAATACTCCAAATTAGCGTCCAAACATCCGATGTGACATGGGCTAAAAAGTTTTTGCCCCATCTAAGGCCCTGTTTAGATGGGACTAAAACTTTTAAGTCCCTATCACATCGGATGTTTGAAAATTAATTATAAATATTAAACGTAGACTATTAATAAAACCCATCCATAATCTTGGACTAATTTGCGAGACGAATCTAATGAGCCTAATTAATCCATGATTAGCCTATGTGATGCTACAGTAAACATTCTCTAATTATAGATTAATTAGGCTTAAAAAATTTGTCTCGTGAATTAGCTTTTATTTATGTAATTAGTTTTGTAAGTAGTCTATATTTAATACTCTAAATTAGTGTCTAAAGACAGGGACTAAAGTTAAGTCCCTGGATCTAAACACCACCTAAACTCTCAATGTTCATCGACTCATGCACACAATTGTAGACTGTAGTACATGTTTCAGGCATTTTTCGGATGACATTTTTCACAGGCCCTATGACGAAAATGCTAATGCGCGACTGACCGCGCGCGCGCCCTCCCGCGCGGCGAGGCACGTGGCGCGCGTGGAGAGGGCCGCGGTGGCGGCAGCGCGCAGGGTGGGGCCCGCGCGATTTTTTTTCCTTTTTCCTGTTTCGTTTTTTCTTTCTCGTTTTTTGCAGTTTTCCTTTTTTTTTCCTTTTCGGTTTTTCATAACATATACGTATACAAACTTTTATACAAACGTCTACAAAGTTTGTATACATACGTATAAAAACTTTGTATACGCTATATATAAAGTTTGTATACACGTATGTATATAAAGTTTGTATACTTGTATATGTATACACATGATGTGTTTTATGGTTTTTTCAATTTTTTAATATGTACGTATACAAAGTTTGCACATGTTGTATACAAAGTTTGTATATGTGTATATTTTTTATACATAAAAAATATATACATATAAAAACCAAAAAACACAGTAGTACTAATAGTAGTATAACAGTAGTACTAGTAGTATTATTATAGCAGTAGTAGTAGTACTGTAGTACTACTAGTACTAGGGGGCACCGCGCGGGGGCAGCGGCACGCGGTCAGTCGCGCATTAGCGCTCCCCGCCCTATGATGTTGCTTCCTGTGCTGGCCCATGCTGCATAGCATTTTTAGGCTTTACTTGGGCCGAAACAAATCACAGTCCATATTAAGATGGAAAAGGCCCAGTTTCACTCCCCTCAACTATAGGTCAAATATTGTTCAGATTCCTCAATGATAAAACCGTGTATAACGTGTCCTTCAACTATTAAAATCCGTGAAAAATGACTCCCTCCGTTGTATTAATATGGTTTTCGATGACGTGATATCTACATGGTGCATTGACCTAGTTTTCATTTTACATGACTCTTGTATCTTGTATGGATAATGGTCAAAGTTGATGAAGACATCATGCTCGCCCCAACGCGACCCCATCGAGTTTGAGCTCCATGAAAAGAGAGGCAGCGGAGGTGGCGATCGATGAGCCATATCGAGATCAAACTCACCTACCCATCCACATGGAGGCAACGCCCTGGGTCGTTGCCACCATCCATCTTTGTCTTTACCTATTGGACCACTAGAACATGTCGTCCTTCAGGCCAACTTTGTCTTCCTTTGTTTCGACTGGTCCAGTTTCGTCCTCTCTCTAAATCGACAAGGAGATGAAGAGCAGAAGAGGCATTCTGTCGGTCGTTGCTCCTCTACCATGGATGGAAAGGGAGTAAGGAGGAGGAAGAAATGGATGATAACAATGCTTGCCAACAGGGAATTGGAGTCCACCTTAACATCCGATTTGTGTGTGCCCGCCACTGCCCTGCTGCCTCACCTCAACCTCTCATTGCCGTTCTGCCGTCAAGAAAATAAGGGATAGCGGAAGGGGTAGGGAAGGAAGGAGAGAGGAGGACATGTGGGCTCCACTCCATTTCTTAATTTATGTGATGATTGACATTTCATGTGGATGCTATGTCTGCGAGAAACACCATCAATATTACCGACCAAGTCGTTCTTCACTGATATTAATAGTTTGAGAAGTGTTATATCGGTTCCAGGGATACAATCAGATTCAACGTTGAGGCAGGCGCATTAAACCTTTTCCCATTAAGATGGCGCTGCCTACGCAGCTGGGCTTCTGCGTGGTGTAAGGCGTGTAGGCCTTGATTGGGCCGAAGCAAATCTCACCGTAACATGTTAGCCACAGAATGCATCCCCATCCCAAGCCTCTCAGGGCGCAGGCTCCGGCGAACCCAACCCTAGTCCGGTAGCCCCCGACGCCGCCCCACCGCGCCGACGCCGCGCATCCTCCCCGCGGCCCTCGGAGGCATCTCCTCGCCCGTCGTCCCTCGGCGCCTCGCCATCGCCGGCGGTCTGCCTCCGCTGCTCGGCGGCTCGCCCGACGCACCCACGAGTATCTTCCCCTTCCCTGGCGTAAAAGAAAATCTCCCGTCTCGTCTCCTCCGCTCTTTGCGCCGTCTCGCTGCTGAACAGGGGAGGGGCGGCGATCTCCATCTGCCGAGCAGAGCAGGAGAGGGGATCCTGGTGAGCATCCACATCCTCTATCTGATTCATCTCTCTCTCTCCCAGCGGGACTACTTTTGTCTGGAATTTGCTTGCGTGCGTTCGTTAACCCTAGCTTCTCTTCTAGATCTGGAAGAGGCTCTTCTCTTAATTTCAGAGCCTTAACCTTAATACAAGTAACAGTTTATTTGTTCCCCGAAAAGTTTGCGATTCAACTGAACCCCATGTCCCAAGTTGGTTCGCCCCTGACAAAAAACTGTACACAGAAGAATGTAAAAAATAGGTCGCAGCTATGATTATATGGCAATGTTGACATGATTTCTCAGAATCCTTCAACAGTGGAATTGTTAGATTAGTTTTGATGAATTCCCGCAGAAATAACGCCATAAACAGTAAGGCACGCACTGGCAATGAGAGCTTTGGTTCCCACGTTTTGAAATCGTCTACTAGATGCGGACACTTGATTGCGTTGTGTAAAAAACCTCTTTTCCCTTCTAATATATTTACGTGCAATCCTTTTGCGTGTTCGCGAAAAAAAAATTAATACTAGATGCGGACACAACAATGTCCACTTCAATGTCGTGCTTTCTTCTTCAGGGATCATCATATTTAATGTGAAACAGTATGTACAGTGGTGGAAACTGTCAATGCTGAAATGATTGTCCTCATGATCTAATGTTTAGCCAGCCAGTACAAGGATTGGATTTGCACTTTCTGTTAAAAGCTTCTAGCATTAATTTTGTTAAAAGCTTTAACCACAATATTCTGATTTTTCTACAAATTTGGTTTTAGTTATACTTTGGTCGGTTGCAAGTACCAAACAGGATTATATGAAAAATATATTGAAAATCGTTGTACAGAAACTGATTTCATAGTCCAGGAAACAACCAAACAACGTTTATGACTAGGCACTGTTTTCCTTCCTTGCTAAAACATGCTTCTCATTTGTAAAGTTAGAATATATTGTATTGATTTTGCCTCAATGTTTTAAATAGTGGTAAGCGGTGCAATGTGGTCATTCCACCTTGTAGAGCTTATGCGGAAAGTGGCCTTTTAAGCGGTTTTAAAGTCGTATACCAAGACAGATTATTGACATCTGATCCATCTTTATTTATTTATGGATAATGAACGTAGGCTTAAAGGATCAGTAAAGAGGAAAGACTCATGAAGAACCAACTACCAAAGAGGACCCAAGGATGACCAAAATTTAAGTCACTGACTCAATGTAATGAAGCAAAAACATAAATGCAGTAAATTAGCAATAAAGATGTTGTGATTCACACATTATATATATTATAGGTTCCAAACTTCTGATCACACCATCATAGTTCATAGAGGATAGAGCAAATAGCAAATACTAATGGCACTATGGCAGAACACAAAAGGGTACCTAAGCCATAAGGCCAAATTGCCTACACGGTAAGCAGGCCACATATCCGAATATGTGGCCCGCTTAACCTTGTAAATGCACCGTACAGCAATAATCGGCAAGGTCTGATGACCTGTTACGCTTATACGGCCGCATAAGCGGTCTGTGTGGCTGCTTTTTAAAACATTGTTTTGCCTTCATATTTTTACGAGTTACTGCAATTACTTAGAACTTGCAGACCATTTTTTTTACCAATTGATTCATATTATCTCAGAGAAGCTAAATACTCCTAGGACTTATATATTCTCAACTTTTCCGATCTTCACTTGACCTTTTGGCTTTGGGCTGTACTTTTGTAATGTGCTATTGCCGTATTATGGTATTAGTTTATTTCTTTATTTGTCCATGCTTTCTATTTTGGAAACAATGGTACATCAATAAATTCCATAGACATGCTAGTTATAACGTGATCTGTACCTCTATATATAAAACATAATACTTAGCTCCTTTTAACTTTGGTTCTAATCCTACATTTCTCCAGGTCATCATTTGTTGAAAAATGGCCACAGAAGATACTTCTCACATTTCTGGTAGTTCTGAGTCAACAATTCCATTGCTAGAACAGCTTGCTGAAGTATTTGGCAAGCTGAAATCTCACACAGAAACATCCTTGCAATTGCAAAACGGCATCAATTGGGAAGATATCAAAGCACATTTCCTGAACCTTGAGAAGTCGTACAAAAGTAAGTGCGATGAACTTGCAGAGAAGCAGAAGGCATTAGAAGAAAAGAAAGCTGAATCCTGTAGGCTTATTGCAGAGAAGGAAGCTAATGTTTCTGCAAAAGAGCGTGCTTTCCTGAACCAGTTTCAGGAGCTAAGGGATACAGCTGTCTCTGCCCTTTCAGAGGTGCGACAAAAATATAAGGTGGAGCTTGCTGGTATACTTGATGCCAATGGAAGCAAAGATAAAAAGGTAAGAACCTCAACCAATGACATGAATGCGTTGTGTGCTTCAGAGGAGAATACAACTGCTAGTGGGCTGGGTGAACCATCTGAAGCTTCACCTGTTGATGTTAAGCCACGTCCTGTATTGAAGCAACTATGTGAGCAGATGGATACAGCAGGCCTTCTGAAATTTCTTTCAGAAAATTGGAAAAAACTTTCTAGCCTTCGTGATGAACTTTCTGCTGCACTAAGATGTGCTACTGACCCTGCACGCTTTGTGCTTGGTTCCTTGGAGGGTTTCTTCCCATCTGACCATACTAGTTCACCTGGGAATAAACAGATTATTCTCCAAGGCCAGCGTAGAAGCTGCATTATTTTGATGGAAGCTATAACACCTGCACTAGCTACGAAGGAGCCAGGTGACAACCACCCTTGGAGCTCTGAAATTAGGGAGCTGGCCAAGGCGATTGCAGAAGAGTGGAAGAGTAAGCTAGCTGAGGTTGACCTCGATGCTTCTGATGGCTACTCATTGGAAGCACAGGCATTCCTGCAGCTTCTTACAACATTTAATGTTGATTCGGTGCTTGACGAGGATGAACTATGCAAGCTTGTAGTTGCCGTCTCTCGTCGCAAGCAGACTGCTGAGCTTTGTCGCTCCCTTTGTCTTAATGAGAGAATACCAGGTTGGTATCCCCTCAGAATGCCACAAGGCGTTCACATCCCTTAAACCAGACCACAGCCATTCCTGATTTATTACTAAGCCACAGAGCTTTCTAGGGAATTGAAACCTTCCTGCTTTATGTGAAAACCTGGTAATTTGCATAAGTTTGGAAATTTATGATCCTTCTGTTGACAATATTTTGCAGATATTATCAAGGAATTGGTTAATAGACACAGGCAAATTGATGCAGTTCAATTTATACATGCCTTTGGGCTTTCTGAGAGCTTCCCTCCTGCACCTCTGCTGAAGACATATGTGGAGGAATTAAAAGATTCACTTGGCAATAATGGGGATGGCAACGCGGCTTCTCTGAAGGTATGGTCTTTCCACCATGTTTGAGATGGGGATAATTTCCCAATGTTTAGGTCACAGTTCATCCACTGTACTGTTTCACCAAGGAAGTATACTATTAAGCGTAGTGCAAATGGACCAGCAATTTGTGAGTAGTCATACAAACAAAACAATTGAAGTCAGGAATCATTGTTGCAAGGTTGGTTATTGCTGCGAGGATTATTGGATTGAATTCATCTTGCTTCGCAGATGGAAATTTACTTTCAACATCCACTGTTTAGTGCTTATGACTGTAATGCAGTGCGGACTTGTTTGGTTGACTGTCAACTGCTTTTCTACTTGATAGTACTATTGAACATTGTAGATTATTGTATATTACTTCGTACTTGAATGATTTCATATCTGTTTCCCAATCTTCTTTTCTGGTTTTACATTTATGTTTGTATCCTTTTTCAGGATGACCCAAAGACTCGGGAACTACTTGCATTGAGGGCTGTAATAAAATGCATTGAAGAGTATAAGCTTCAGAAGGACTATCCTCTTGGACCTCTCCAGAAGCGTGTTGCTGAGCTAAAATCTAAGGGTGAGAAAAGGCCATTGGAAGCTGGGCGCCATAATGCAAAGAAGCCTCGCACTTTCGGCAATTCAGCTGCTCGCAGGCCACCAAATCCTGTTGGTTCAGCTGGTCGCAGACCTTCAGGCCCGGCTGGTACTTGGCAGCGGCCCCCTCCACCAATGCCTTCCTATCCTGATCGATATGGACATGCAGATCGGTACCATTACACTGCACCCTCTGCAACATATGATCCTCCTGCTTATGCTTCTTACAGCGAACCATACAGTGCCTCAAAGCCATACCAGTACACACCAGGCTCAGTAGCTCCTGCATCATACAACTCGAATCAGTTCAAAGTAGCTTATGGTGGACCTGGTGCCCCGCCAACAGCAGGCGGCTACGGAAGCTACAACGATGCAGCAGGGCAGTCTACTTCGAGTAGCTATTCGGGTTATTCTGGTTACCACCCTTCACTACCAAGGTTATAACTTGCATTTGCTATGCTACGCTGGTTATGATAAAGCACAATCTGGCTATCAATCTCGTTCAGAGTTCAGACCCCAGATGTAACCTTTAGATATACTCTAGTGGATTTTGTAGCTGTAACTGGTGTAGATCTTGATCTTCCAAGGCTGGTCGTGTGAGAAGCCGGTCGATTTTAGAGACTTTTTTTTTGTCCTGCTACATGTATCCAGTTGAATACTGTTGCGTGTACCTAACCTGTTTTGAATATTCTCCATGTTCAGTCTTCTGTGACTAACTACTAAGATTGGCTCCATTTTAATTCGCCCTCTGGGCTCTGGCGCTTTTGAGTAGTAGAATATTTTTTTCCCCTTACCTTTCTGAACTAATCTCTTGCTTTGCAAACTGCAATTTCCTTGTACAGCTTAAGATGCAAGCCTTTCTGATTACTTTGCAGAGCCTACAATCTTGCACGATTTAAGGATGCAAAGATATGAGCTAGATAAGCATGGAACGCATGAGCAGAAGCACGTTTTTTAGGATGATGAGACGAACTCTTTCACAAATCGCATGTCTGGTGGCCTCCATGTGGGGCCCACACGCACCCCGCTCGTCTCGTCAACGCCACTCTCCTCTTCCACTCCAATCTCACTAGGAAAACAAAAAACCGCCACTTGCGCAAAAAGGAATACAGCTATACGCATCGGGATGATCTGAGCCACCGACAGGTGGGACCCACGCGAGGCCGCCCCCACCTGTCAGCCGGTGCCACGCCCCCGAGGCATCTCCCACACAGTGACAAAAAATATACTAATCCCGGACCTGCGTGAACCGGCCGGCGACGCGAGAATTACCGGATTACCCCTCGCCTTCTCCTCCAACAAGTCGTCGCCCTCTCGGGCTCGCTCAGCTCTCTTCCCCTTCCTTCCTCCTCCTCGGCTCGGCGCGACGAGTCCTCGCCATGGCGAGTCGCCGGTCGCGTCGGCTCGGCTCGCTCGTGCCCTTCGCCGCCGCGGTGGTCCTCCTCCTCCTCATCGCTTCCGCCGCCGCCGCCGCCGCGGGATCCCCCGATCGGGCCGGCCCCGCGCGGCCGCCGCTGGTGCTCCCGCTCACGCTCGCCTACCCCAACGCCACCCGCCTCCCCGCCTCCTCGGCCAGGCGCGGCCTCGGCGATGGACACAACCCCAACGCCCGCATGCGCCTCCACGATGATCTCCTCACCAACGGGTCGGTACAGTTCGTTTTTTGCCCTCCGCTCTCTCTCTCTCGATAATTTCCCCCAAATTTTTTTTTCTTGGGGGGGTTGCGTGGTTGGATCTGAGGCTGGATGTCGCCGCGTGTTGTTCGTGCTGGTTTAGGTATTACACGACGAGGCTGTACATCGGGACGCCTTCGCAGGAGTTCGCGCTGATCGTGGACTCCGGGAGCACCGTCACCTACGTTCCCTGCGCCACCTGCGAGCAGTGCGGCAACCACCAGGTCGGCCTGGATTCGTCAAATTCTCTGCTTACCTGTTTGAATTGTGTGTGACGATCGGTTTAATTAGGATTGGTGATGGTCGCGTGTATGGATATTGGATTCCCATATGTCAAACTGTCGCTTGACCATTCAGGTTGGACAATTGACTCCAGTGCAAATGATACATTTTTGTCGGGCTTGGGTGTGTGCATAGACATTTATTGTTCCAAAATTCAAAGTCTTGGAAAATACACGTTTCCATTTGGATAGGTTCGGAAGTTCCAGCTATACGATGTGGATAAAGTGTATGGTACGCAAAGAGCACCTCCACAACCTGCAGGGTATATTAAAACTAACCGAGCGACGATGATGTAGCTTCTTTTTTTCTCAATTGTGAATGCCTCAGAATTTAATAGAGGTCAACATCCAACAAAGCCCATGCCAATCTTGGTCACAACCAACAAGAATTACTATTTGTTTGATAGCCATCATTTTAGCCAAATTTTGCACCATTTTGTTTTCAAACCATTGGCGTTCCTGGTTGTCAACAGTTAGTCGATTCTTCTTTGTTTTTTCTCCATGCCAAATGAGTCCCATGTCTTTCCTGAGTGCTGACAATTATCAGGCAATAGATTTGGGAAGTGTATTGGATTGTTTATGGCAAAGCAGTGGAAACAATTTGTATTAACACCAATTTTCCTACCAAGTAAACCCACTGCCATGTCCAGAATACACATCTGGTATTGCTATGCAATTTGATGTTTGTTGCTCCCTTATCGTTCTCTGAATTTTGGGCTTTAGATTCAAACGTCACATAGAAAACATATCCATATGAAAAGGCAAATATGTTACTGTATTTTTCACTTCTTTCTGCTACATACCCAGCCTTTTCTTGGGCAACTGTTTGCATGGTTAGTCAGGCCACTGTTCTCTTGTAGTCCTGTATAATCTGAGTAGTTTGGAAATCTTCCATCAGTTGTAGATTGCTACTATTGCTGATAAGTAATAGAGGAGTCCACAACTAATGGGAAGCCCATAACCTGATTCTAAAAAGAACTGTTCTTGTCACTTGCATAGTTGCATCTTTTTGACACAATTGTATCATTCTTATCATAACTTGTGATTTTTCTAGATTCTAGATGGCACCATTGTTGTACCATCCTCTTATTCTATGTCATGTTTGCAGAGTGAATCACCTAACATCATTGAGGCACATGTAAAAGTTTAAGCATTTATACTATTTAATTTATATTAATGTGTGTACAAACAGTGTGACAATATTTTGGCATGATTTCTCCAATGCGATGTATATCTTACGTGATAAAAAAAGTTAAGATGTGTATTTGATCATACCCATTGAGAAAATCACCTTTTTCCCACTTGAAGTTTCCTTTTTAACTATCTAGAAATCAACTTTCTCTAGTATACACTAAAGTTTGGCATGTTGTAGGATCCACGATTCCAACCTGATCTCTCCAGTACATATTCACCAGTAAAATGCAATGTTGATTGTACTTGTGATAATGAGAGGAGTCAATGCACTTATGAGAGGCAGTATGCTGAAATGAGCTCCAGCAGTGGTGTGCTTGGCGAGGACATTATGTCATTTGGCAAAGAAAGTGAACTTAAGCCACAGCGTGCTGTTTTTGGCTGTGAAAACACCGAAACAGGAGATTTGTTCAGTCAACATGCTGATGGTATTATGGGGCTGGGCCGTGGTCAACTTAGCATAATGGATCAGCTTGTTGAGAAGGGTGTCATTAGTGATTCATTCTCTCTGTGCTATGGTGGAATGGATGTTGGTGGTGGTACTATGGTACTTGGTGGGATGCCTGCTCCTCCTGACATGGTTTTCTCTCATTCAAACCCTGTCCGCAGGTATTATACATTTTTGTTTTTTCCACACCAGACTGAAGATTCTTTTAGTAGCCTGCTGGAGGAAGGTTTTCTAATGTTCTGTATATTTAATACATTTCCTTATTAATTTTGGATTGTCAACAGCCCGTATTACAACATTGAGTTAAAGGAAATACATGTTGCCGGAAAGGCATTGCGGTTAGACCCAAAGATATTCAACAGCAAACATGGCACTGTCTTAGATAGTGGAACCACATATGCTTACCTGCCTGAACAAGCATTTGTTGCATTTAAAGATGCTGTAAGTTATCAAATGATATCTCCTCCACTTTTACCTTTTTTGAATTGCTTTTACCATCTGCTAACTATGCTACTTTACTATTTTATATTTAATATATTTCCCTAGATGCCAATTTTGCAATTAACCTGTCTAGTTTCAGATGTTAAGACAGAAAAATTTACTCCTACTTTGGCAACACCTGGTTTTGCATGTGTACGAGCCAATCTGTTTGGCACCTTTTCTGCTATCTTGGTTGTCGCATTGCAGATTCTTTTCATTTTGTTTTTATTCAGCTCTTCATTGTCATTCCTGAAAATGGAAATCTTTAAAATGGACACTCCTGGAAAAGTATGCTGGAATAATTATGTTTTTAATGGATAGGTGACAAATAAAGTAAATTCTCTGAAGAAAATCCGTGGCCCAGATCCAAATTATAAAGACATCTGCTTTGCAGGTGCTGGAAGGTAACTCTTGCACCATGATAACAATTTCTACCCCCTTTGTTTTCATCATCAATGTTCTTATCTTATCACTTTACCTTCAGGAACGTCTCCCAATTATCAGAGGTATTTCCAGATGTTGACATGGTATTTGGAAATGGGCAGAAGCTTTCGCTTTCACCTGAAAACTATTTGTTCCGGGTATGAGAAATTCCAAGCTTAGACCTGTTCTGATGAATTATGACACCCCATTACTTTTTTGCTTTGCCTGTTGTTGAGTTCATGTTTTGTCTTCTCTTCTTTCCGGTTTCAAAATAAAGCATTCGAAGGTTGAAGGGGCTTATTGCTTGGGTGTGTTTCAGAATGGAAAAGATCCGACAACACTATTAGGGGGTAAGATCTTCAACTCTTGGTCTCTTACGAGGAACTTCAAGAAAATTTCCATTGGACTTCTTTTATTTATATCATCTGACTACACTATCTCTACTTTATTCGCATATAACTTGTTACTAGTGTATGCTGAATAACATTTGCACCTGTACTATGAGTCTTTGACCAGCTTATACACTCGCGTCTGCTGGAAACTTGAGTAGAAAACCAAGTAACTCTCTTTGTAGAAAATACTACTATATAACAATGGTCTCCTTATCTTTTTCAGCATAACCAGCTGATGCACTTTTCAATATTTTTTAGATATAATCTGAGGTAACTTTTGTGTCAGTGTAGCTTGTTCCTTCATCACTATGGCAATTTCTTGGCTGCACTTATTCAATTTCGTAATCCAATAGTTTACGTGTGCAAGTATGCAATGATTGGTGTGTAATCCGAAAACCATGGCTGTGAAATACCAACATTGTTTATCATTTTATGAATATAAGAATGCATAAACCCTCTATTTTTTTCATAGATAACAAACATGCAATTATCTGTGAACAATCCAAAAACAAGCATCCTTAAGAGTTATTCCTGATTTCAGAAAATTTGAGGTTAGAAGCAAAGTGTTCATGGAATTATCAGTTAAAACTCTAAAAGTGGTTGAGCCTACAAAGGAGGCATTCTCTTTATTAATTGCCGGTTGCAAGCCAACATACGGTATTGTACCAAGAAATTTTTTTTCTGCCAACAGTATAATAGACCTTGGCTGCTTGTTGTATTTATGCACTCTTTTGTCTCTAAAAGGAAAGTATGGTGTTTTTGTTCTCTTCTCTATCCCTTAAAGAGTCAAGCAGATCAATCTTTAGAGAGATTTATACTTTTCTTATATTAATTTTGACCTTTTATTTGATTTATAGACAGTCTACATGAATGTTCTAATAGTTTGCATGGCTCTATGTACTTTGAAACCTTGCCCGCTTTGAGTGTCTAAAGAATAATGATCTTACTGGCAGGAATTGTTGTCCGTAATACTCTTGTAACCTATGACCGTCACAATGAGAAGATTGGCTTTTGGAAAACTAACTGTTCAGAGTTGTGGGAGAGGCTCCATATTAGTGAAGTTCCTTCATCAGCACCTTCAGATTCAGAGGGAGATATGGCACCAGCTCCTGCTCCTAGTGGTTTGCCTGGTACAGCCCTACCTATACAACTATTTTGTTAAAACTATTGATTTGCTGCAACTTTAGCTTGTCATTTTAGAGAACTGTGGCAATAAGGTAGAATTTTATCAGAAAGCTGCAACTTTGACTGGCAAGTTGGGCCCACATGTCATATGCACATAGGGGGATAAAGTTGCAGTTTTCTAATAAAATTGTTTGCTATTGTTGCAGTTTTGTGAAACACTATGCTTAAGTTGTAGAAAAGTTATAGTATTGACCAAATTATTGCACTTTTCTGAAATTTACTCTCTATCTTTCTTCATTTTGGTGGTCATGTTTTATGAACGTTGAATCACAAGCATTTGCTATTTTTATAATTTCGAATGGTCAACTATTATCATCTTCTTTGGGGTACTTTCTTTGGATGTTATCCAGAAGTTTCATTGGGATCAAATTTTTCTTTGAAATGGGTGCAGACAGCCCAATCTTTCCCCATTTTTTATCTGCACCATTTCATTTTTGTTTACCTAATTTTTTTCTCAAATAATTTTGTTTACCTACTTAATTAAATTACCTAGAAATCACCTAGTTATTTTGTTTTGGTAGCTCTTGCCTAATAACTTAAATCATTATTTTTATTTAGTGCACACTATTATAGATGGCCAAAAGGCCCGAGGCCCGACGGCCCGGCCCATGGCACGGCGTTTAGGCCCGGCCCAAGCACGGCACGGCCCGTCAAGGGTCGGGCCCGTGCCGGCCCGGCCCGACCACCGGGCCGTGCCTGGGCCTCTCCGCTGGCACGTTGGGCCGGCACGGCACAATGGGCCGCATGCCAAGCCCGACACATAAACAATAGGGAGTAAAAATAGACATATTATATGCCACGGTCGAAAGAATAGGGATGTAAAATAGACTTATTTTACCTATATATATGTCAGCCCAAAGAGGAGGGACGGAAAATAGACTTATTTTCACTATATATATGTCACAGCCCAAAGTGGAGGGACGGAAAATAGACTTATTTTCGATATATTATGTCACAGCCCAAAGAGGAGGGACGAAAAATAGACTTATTTAAAAAAAGGCACGATGGGCTACCTGCGCCTTCGGGCCGGTCCGGCACAGCCCGACGGTTGGTGGGCCGTGCCTAGGCGGGAGGCGCAGCCCATGGGCCGTGCCGGCCCGGCACGAAGTGCCGATCGGGCCGTGCCGGCCCGATGGCTGGTGGGCCGTGCCTGGCTGTGCCTGGGCCAGGCCGTGCCGGGCGGGCCTTTTGGCCATCTATACACACTATTTCTAGCTTTATTTTATGCGCTGATGAATAAGGTTTTTCTCCTGCTTGCAGAATTTGATGTTGGCCTAATCACTGTTGATATGTCCATAAATGTTACTTATCCAAACCTGAAACCTCACCTCCATGAGCTGGCTGAGCTTATAGCTAAAGAGCTGGACATTGACTCCCGTCAGGTAAGGGTGACCCATAGTCTGTGCTGTTGTGGTTTTTCTAGTTTTGTTTGGAGGTGATGCGTGAGGGACACTATCCTTGCTATTGTTTACAGCTTTGCACCATCCTATCTTGATAGCACTAGCATTCTTTTGAAGTGATTTGTTAAAGTTGCCTCTTGAGTTTGACAGGTTCGAGTTATGAATGTTACAAGCCAAGGAAACTCTACTCTAATCAGATGGGGGATTTTTCCAGCTGGACCTTCTAATTCTATGACTAATACAACAGCAATGGTAGCATCCACTCTTGCACATATGAGGACTACTTTAATCTATCTGTTATAAAGATAATTGATTTGCTGCATTGATGTATGATTAGGGTATCATTTATCGGTTGACCCAACATCACGTCCAGTTGCCTGAAAATCTTGGCAGTTATCAGTTACTTGAATGGAATGTGCAGCCTTTATCCAAGAGGTAAGCAAACACCATTATAACTGCCAAGATTATATTGCCATTAAAAGCTTGTACAGTCCATATTATCATAATAAGCTCTGTCTTTATCATTGGAATTCAACTCTTTCTTTTCATTGAAGCCCTGCTTTCATCCTGATCTAAAATGACAAGGCAACATCCCTTCGACATCCTTTTTGCAGGGAAAAAGTAGATACATGTCACTCTACACTAGCCTGTTTAGAGATATACCATTATAAACTATAAAGTTCTCTCTCCCAAACACTATTCTTATACTGATCAGTGGCTTTAGCGTGTAGTTGTAGTATGCAATGGGGCTGCCTGGCAAACATGGAAAACCTGAATATCTGTCAAAGTGCTTAAGCAAGATTCTCACATCTATTAGGAAAAATCATTTTCACCAATTCCCTTGAATATTTCTTGTGCGGCATCGATGCATCAATCTTGGCATTTTCATCTGCTGGAGAACTTACATTCGGTAATTATTTCTACAGGTCATGGTTCCGAGATCATGTAGTCTCTATACTGCTTGGAATTTTGCTAGTTGTTTTGCTGACTTTATCGGCCCTTTTAGTACTGATTGTCTGGAGAAAGAAATTTAGAGGTCAAGCGGCATATAGACCTGTGGATTCAGCAGTTCCTGAGCAAGAGCTCCAACCGCTATAATTTGGAGTGGTTCAACGGAGTAAACATATAGGCGATTCTTTGGTAGAAATACCGTTGTGCGGGCTGCCATGTTGCAGCGGGTTCACATCCGCTGCTGGGAGTTGCCCTTTTTCTTTGTATGTAACACAAGCTACAAGCTTACAGAAGAAGCACAAGATTACATAACTTCTCGATTCAGCACTTAGAGCCTCTGTTCATAAACTGTCTAGCGATTCAGATCAAGAGCTTCCTCTTGTAGCTTACAGTAGAAGAAGGTTTTGTTCGTGTAATGTAGATTAAGTAGAATAGAGCAAGGCACAAAAGCACAGCAGCCATGGACGGAATGTTGTATTATCTAGTATCTGATAAGTGCTGAGGATATTCGGCTTCTACAGTGTTTTCACGTTTCATTTCCATGCTCCTTGGTAAAAACGTGTTCTAACTTTTGTTCTAGCTCATAACTGGCAAAGAGCTTTTGCTTTATACCCATAGAATGCAGAAATTATTATTGATCTGTTGCTGGAGGCATTTGCAGACAACATCTCTGGCTCGTCAACGTGGAACCCGCATGTCCATCGGCTTCCCGACCGTGAACCCGCCGTCGATGACGTGGTTCTGCCCGGTGACGAACTTGGCCTCGTCGGACGCCAGGTAGACGGCCGCCCTCGCCACGTCCTCCAGCTCCAGCACCGCGCCATGGAGCTCGCTCATCCCCCTCTCCACCATCTCCTTCAGCTGCTCGTCGCTGACCCCCGGGTTCATCCTCGCCAGCGACCGGACCAGCAGCGGCGTCGCGATGGCGTGCGGCGAGATGGCGTTCACGCGCACGCCGGAGCGCGCCAGCTCGGCCGCCGCCAGCCGCACCACGCCCACCACCGCCGCCTTCGAGAGGCTGTACGGCAGCGCCGCGAGCCCGCCGAGCATGCCCGTGGTGCTCCCCGTGCAGAGGACGCAGCCGCCGCGCCGGGGCACCATGACGCGCGCGGCGTGCTTGACGGCCGCCACCGCGGACCGCGCGTTGGCCGCCATGACGCGGTCGAAGTCCGCGAGGTCGAGCGACGCGAGCGGCGCGGGCGCCGAGGAGCCCGAGATGCCGGCGTTGCTGTAGAGGATGTCGAGGCGGCCGTGCCGCGCCACGGCGAGGTCCACCGCCGCGGCGATCTGCGCCTCGTCGGTGACGTCGCAGCGGGTGTACGCGGCGTCCGGGCCCAGCTCGGCCGCGACGGCGCGGCCGAGGTCGTCCTGTATATCGGCCAGGATGACCTTGGCGCCGTTGCGGATGAACTCGGCGGCCGTCGCCTTGCCGATGCCGCTGGCCGCGCCGGTGATCACCGCGACCTTGCCGGGTAACCTCTGGCAACTCGAGGCAGTCGAGAAGTGGCTGCCCAAACCACACAGAGCTCCCATAGCTCCGCTCTTCTCCCTCCTGCATTGATCCATCCACATGACCATACATCGAACAAGCAGCAAGGGAAACTGATCAGCTTCTTGTTCTTTCCAAGAAACAATCAGATTCATCGCACGCAGGCATCAGAAGAACGTGCTCCGTACAAGAAACAATCTCCATGGAAGCTGAACAAGGTAGAAAATGATATTTTGATAAAAAACAGGAGAGTAGAAAATGATCAGAAATGAGAGACCTGACAACGAGTTGCGTTGCTCTCAACATCCTTCACCCACAGTGCTCTTCAGTGTTCACCTTGAGAAAACTTCAGTTTCTGTGGTGCTTGCGACCGAGCTAGGTGATGAAATGCAGGTTGTAGTAGATCTTGGCACGGTTGGATCACTACTGATGGATCTTGGCATATATCGGAACGTTTTCTTGTCGACAAAAAAATGCTCGTGAAACACCTGTATTTGAAGTCCAAAACGGAGCCTAGCTGCTACACGTCAGTACACCATTGTCAGCTTTCGTCTGAACTGATGCGGCACGTGTACCCCACATTCTATCCGATGAGATGGTGGCACGCCACCTATGGCGCGTCGTCGTCTGCGCTGCTTGAGGTGTGATCAAATTCATTTACACACAAACAAAATCAGCTTCTGCCGGAACGAGTCGTCGAAGGTTTGGATCGGAGCTAATCGTTATTCTTTTAGAATTTCACCTTCATATATACCTCATGTAAGCTGTTGTTCGGTGTTGGAACCTTGTGGAGATATTTTATTGGTTGGTGGCCGTGGTTTTTTCTCTTCTGCTTTGAAGAGTTTTTCACGTTAAATCTTGTGTCTTCTGTCATTTATTGTTTTTTATCGTTTGTTTGACTATTATTTTCTAACATCGGAAACTGCTTGCTCCAAATTCCAAACTGTTTGTGTACAATTTCAGGCAGTGGTTGGGTTGGGCGTCGAATTGGACAGCGTCCAGATTGGTCCAGTTTGTGGAGGTGGATCTGACGAATGGTTCCCGTGGGTGGTCAACGCAAGTTTTCGTCGCGAGACAAATGATCATTTTTCAAGCAATCAGCTAGCATTGGTTCATCTGACTAGCTAGTCTTAAGTTCCGTAATTTTCATTTTAATCGCACTAACTGCGAGCAGTACTCCATTGAACCAGTAGAAACTTGGATGAAGCAAGTTCTCCAAAAGAAAAGCATACTCGAGCCCAGGGCGAAGCTAGAAGGAAATAGATGGTGGTGTCACTTGTTTAATTTACTCTACTTTAGATCAAGTTTAAGCTGATGCGGATGCCTAAGTTTGTATTTAGAGGGTACATACATGATGAAAATAGATGAGGTATAGCTAAAAAATTTTCTTGACCAGGTTTCTGGGCACCCCCCTAATATATACTAGCTCCGCCCCTGCTCGAGCCAGATGATCCAGGTCTGGTTTAGTTCCCAACTTTTTCTTTAAACCTCCAAGTTTTCCATCACATCAGAACTTTAATTTTCTATATACATAAACTTCTAACTTTTCCGTTACATCGTTCCAATCTCAATAAAACTTTCAATTTTAGCGTGAACTAAACACACCCTCATTCTCAATTCTGTTGCTTAAAAAAAATAATCAAAAGTAACTTGTGTGTTTAGTTCACGCTAAAATTGGAAATTTGGTTGAAATTGGAACGATATAATGGAAAAATTAGAAATTTGTGTTGTAGGAAAGTTTTGATGTGATAAAAAAGTTGAAAGTTTGAAGAAAAAATTTGGAACTAAACTCGGCCTAGATATCAGAGCGATATCAGAGCATACTCTGGACAAAGCACAAGACATATCTTAGACAGACATTCTTGTTTTATTCCACTAAGCACTAACACTTCTCAAAGAACCGAGATCGATCCCAACGCTATCAATCACACTACTACCACGGATCGGCTACACATCGTCACAGTGCCAGCCATCTCTCGTTGCTCACGGGCACTTGGGCCGTCGGCTCTTGGGGGAGACCATGTCGCGGTAGCAGGGGCACTCGTCCTTGCTGGCGTACGGCCCCGACGGCACGCAGCCGCCGCAGTCGTGGCAGCACATCTTGCACAGCCCCATGCACCGCCCGGCCACCTTCAGCGAGCACCGCTTCTGGCACTTGGCGTCGCACACGCTATCCGGGACCGGAACCACGCCGCCGCCGCCGTCTGCATCCATCCGCGAAATGTTAACAATTTTAGTACTCATCTCCTGCCAAGATCGCTGGAGATCAGTGTGTGTGTGTGAGTGAATTGGATGGCAAGTTTACCTGCAGCGACGGTGAGATCCTGGAACGAGGCGGCGACCAGGAGGGTGGCCAGGAGAGCCGTGGTGGCACGAAGAGGAGGAACCCTCATCTTCTCTTGATCCTTTTGAGCTCTAACAAACACGGTGAGGAGATGAGTGTTCAAAGCAACTGCAGCACTGCTACTACACTGGTGCAGTGAATGGGCTGCAGAGAGTTGAGAGAGATGAATGGGTGTGATTTATGGCTGGTTTCAAGGAAGGTTCTAGCTGGCTGGTGAATTCATTCATCAATAGTTTCAATTCAATTCAATTCAATGGACACACCTGCCCCAGTAGCTTCTTTGGTGTGTGAGCAAGTGAGTGGGGGAATCTCGCAGGGGGAGGGACGGCCATGAATCATGAATGCCATGGCGGACAGGTGGCCTTGTCGCTATGCCGCAGTGTTCACGCGCATCACCGGCTTGCTTTCCCTTTTGTCGGCCTCGTACATGCATAGTATACCATGGGCGGTTACTTGCTTTTGGATCTTGTGCTTATCAGCGTGTGTGTGCCCAATGGTCTATGCAATGGACTGTAACACAGTAACACACTACTAATACTCACGTGCAATGCACGTTTTTTGACAAAATATATCGCCCGAGTACATAATTGCACTAAAAATTTTAGAAACTACACCTTCTGAAGCACAACCTATTTACCCAAAATTTATAAAACATATCCTCATGTAATTGGAATTTGTAACAATAAAAATAACCATTATCAGTACATAGTTATTTTTAGCTAAATCAAAAATGCAAAAAAAAAGGTATCAAAGCAAGATATTGACTTGTCATTCTCTTAACAGTCATCAATATAACCACTCTCAGGCATACTACCAGTATGCGGACCAAAACCAAATAAGTAAGATCATATAGACCTTGAAATGGGGAAACAAAAATATTATATATACTTTGGATTTATTTATGTGGTTATACGTCAATAATATGTCCTAACAAATTCAGATTTGAATTAAGAGCACAGTCGTGGCTTCTTGTTGTGCATAGTAGAATTCGTGGCTTCTTGTTGTGCATAGTAGAATTTAATGGGCAAATGTGTAATCAGATTTTAGATGGATAGGTAGTGAGCTGTCCTTGTGAGACTGAGCAACAAAATTATCCCTTGTATATGAGCCACAACTATAGAAACTTCGAAAAGATAAATTACTGAGTGCTAAGAAGCCTGCACAAACAATTAATTATGCACAAACAAGAAGGAATTATCCATGTTTTATTTGGCATTGCATGTCTGCACCAGCATAAAACTATCACTGATCCTTTTCACTTGTTAGTCATGATCCAGCATTCCAGCTGCTAAGGACTTACAATTAGCTGATAAGAGAACGTAACAAAGCCATACTATTGGATCACACGTTCAACACATAACCCGTGTTAACCAAACAAATCAAGATTGGCTCACTTCTATGAAAACATTATATTAACGTAAATTATTTCAACCAAAAAGAAGGAATAGAAACAACCAGTAATCTCTTTAATGCATAGTAGACAACATCAGATGCCATGGTGTCCTCCTGATGGATTTGCTTCGACAGCCTACACGTTTTTCATGCATTTTTTGTAACCTGAAAAGAAAAGTTAGATAAGTTTGCTAGATATGAAAAAGTGATATAAATTGTGATAGTTAATCTACATGTTGACTAAGTTTGCTAAACATTTCAGAATCTAGAACACACCATGTATATTTAAGGTAACATAGTTGATTAACTATAGAACATCTACAAATAGTGCAATTCATGCAATAGTGTTCTATGTAAAAATATATGGAACATGATCCTGACCTCAGATTGTAAGTCCAGAACCTCTATGCTCTTACTCATTGCAAGTGCAAGCAGCTAACCAACATATTGCCGTTTTTTGCTTTGAGTATCTTGTAATGAACGTGTGATACAATGCAATTAACTGCTGCAAGTTGGAAGTCATGATCCAATTTTAAAGAACTGCAATTGATTGATAAAATATGTGACAAACGGAATACAGAACAAATATTGAGGTGTAAAAACCAATTTGAGAAGTAGACCATTAGCAATATATGGATTTGAGATCTATCAGACAAATATGAATGTGGTACATGTTCTTATTCAGTTTATTACGACTTTGCAAATGAAGGGAAATATGGTGTGTATTACCTGTCTTTGCATACGATTATGATGTAGAGCATCCTCCGTTGTCTATTGAAGTAGGCCGAGGCAAGCAGATGATTGACTCGAATACTTCTAGCCACACAAGTCAAATAGCTCCCACCTGACAATATCGGTGGATTATTTGGAGCAACAAATAACATCAGTTCTAAAACCTGAAACCAAAATAAAAAAATTCTGCTACTGCTGCTAACATGTGGCATTTAGTCAAAATAAAAAGATTAGCCACTAAGTGTGATTGGAATTTTGGTACTACAAAATCAAACAATGATTCTTTGACAACTTATTGCTTGTATTATTAAGAACCTTTGATACCATCAATTTTCAATCTGCTGCAGCTCCTGCTACAGTATGCAACAAAGTTTCTCCAAGCCAAGAGTTTCAGCCTAGTAGAAATCATACATATATATCAATCTGACCAGGAAAACACATTTTTTTATTACTGAAATGATTTGCCAGGTTGGCCAAAGGATTAGGCCCACCAAATTTATTAAGATTTAGGGAGAAACAAAGTACAAAGTACTATGCTGTCGAACAAAGGTATGAGGCAAAGCCTCAGACCACAATAAACAACTAACACTAATAAATAATCACTGCAGGATAAAAAATGCTAGCCGACTTCCAAATCGTGATCTCCTTGATGTCTCCAAATAATTGCTCTGTAGGTCTAGACCTCTGCTCAAATACCCTAGCGTTCTGTCTTTCCAGATTAACCAACAGATCATCATGAACAGAAAGAATCGAAATTATGCAGTTCACCATATAAACATTTGGTCTTTGCCATGAAGAAGAGGTTGTAAGCCGATGAGAAAGTAAACTGGCCATCACCTGTTAGCTACCACCGAATGGAGTCGTGGCTATTCCTGGTTGAAGCTACACCATCTGAATTTCATCCCACAACTGAAAGAACTCAACCATTGCTCTGTTGGACAAGGAACTCTACAGGTCTCTCACCCATCAGTGATTCACCAAAGCCTGTGCCAGCATCAACTTGGATCTGCCTACATATGATAGAAATTAGTGTTAGTGCCATTGCCACGTGCTGCACCGTGGTTGGAAAAATTGCTTGACCTTTCTATTCCAAGCTTGGCATGCCATTTTAGCCATAGTGCTTGGCCAAAGAAGTCTAAATCCAGAGTTGATCTGCTATAGAGTGAGCAATAATTAATTGAGCAAGAAAGAGCCTGCATAGAATCTACTACAGAGTTCATCAGTGTATGCAAAGAAATTAACTTCTCAGAAAACTACTGATTGTGGTGAAAGGATAACAATAGGATTGTATCCACTTGAACTGATAGCTAGATCGAATAGTGTAAATCAAGCCATAGTGAAAGAAAATGATGTACATTCAGATTCAGATAATCCACATAGAGGACTATTGGGCTGAAGAAGGGAATCGGAAGACTCACTTTCAGCTGAAGCACTCTACACTCTGCACTCTCACCTGCAAAAGAGAGGATGGCACACGTCCGTGAGAACCGAGTGCGTGGTGTGGGCAGACTATGAACCTTACAACGGCGGCACCACTGGAGGCGCGGCAGAGTGCCGTTGGAAGGCAGGACCACAGGGCCGTGACGGGATGGTGATACGAGCCGAAAGGCATATTCACGGGGGAGTCGACTGTGTGCGGCAGCGGAGACAGGCTTCATGACATACAGATCCACGGCGCCGGCGAGGGCAGGGCGCGGTGGTGTGTGGCGGCGGTAGGGAGGAGCGGAGCGAGGAGCGCGCGGCGGAGTCAGCTCCGTTGGGGGCAGGCCACGATGGAGTGTGTCAGCGGCGGGGAGGCGCGGAGCACGCTGGAGTCAGTGGAGCACGCTGGAGCGTCGTGTAGTCATCACGCGGGGGATGGGGCCGAGGTCGGCTCCGGTCGCGGCGGTGGACCTCAGCGCCGGTGCCGGCGGATGGGGCCGAGGTCAGAACCGGCCGCGGCGGCTCCGGCTGCAGGGAAGAAGCAGCGGCTCTGGCGGTGGGGATGCGGCGGCAGTCCACACGGGGAAGAATCAGAGGCTCCGGCGGCGGCAGTCCATGCGGGGAGGATATCCAGCGAGGATGCGGCGGCGCAGCGGCAGAACATCCGGGGAGGAGGAGGAGCTAGCGAGGAGGAAGAGAAGCGAAGTCTTCGCGTGTGGAGCGATGTCTTCGCGAGTGGAGGAGGAGTGAAGTATTCGGCGTGGCGTGGATGGATGGATCATGCGGTGGTGAAATCAAGCGCGCAGATGGACGGTAGAGATCGATTCGAGTGATTTGGCCTGTAGGATTGGAGGGGGACAACTGCTTCTTTTTATATTAGTACTAGTGATCGTGCACGTGCAATGCACTTATGATCAATATTTGATTGAACCATCTACCTACATTGATGTGTAGAATGTTTAAAATGTTTTATGTCTAGTTGCACACAGTTAATCAATGTTTTATGTCTAGTTGCACACAATGTTTTAAAATGTTTAAAATGTTTTATTGAATCTTGAACAACCCAATTAATCAACTTTGTATAAATAATATTGTAACTCCATAGTATTACAAATAAGCAAGTGCTAACTGCTAAGGATCTAACAATAAGAAACAAAAACTCTTAAATGGTCATCTCTTAATTCGTATGATCCTTGTTTTCAACCATTTTTTATGAACATGAAAAATCCTAGAACAATACTACATGAGCAACCAAAACTCCATTTAGTGTCCATAGTTCTCACAAGCTCCATTTATCCTTTAAGGAGTGTATGCCTGCCATTCTGTCCCAAAGGAGGCTTACCTTGCTCCAAAACAGATTTGGTCCACCAAATTATAGTTTTCACAGCGTTCAGTGTCACTGACTTCAAATAATAGAGCTTCTTCTCCTTAATCTCTAGTGATGGACGACAACTTGCCTCTCGATCACTACTATTGTTAGTGGACGCTACCAATTGGACAATAGGACTCCCAATATCACTTCTGTCAAGAGTACCGATCCAACCAGTTTATTGCATAAACCAACTTCAAATACCAGAAATATAATGAATATTTTCATGATTAGTTTGATCCGGCACCTCAAAAACTTCCTTCATAATCTACAGTTAATTTCCATAGTTTAGTTATGAGCCTTCATGTTGTCTATATCGGGGATGGAGATTAAATTTAAGTCATCTACATTAGAAGCTATGAAATTTGATAAAAAAAATTAGGATTCCTAAGGATGATGGTAACTAAACTTATTCAAGATAAGGTGGCAACTGGAGATTTGATTATAAAATTTATATTCTTGACGAAAGCTATATATAACTTAAACCAGGTCACAAAAAATGATTCTTTATTAGCAAAAAATCTACTCAATAAGACATTAGACATACTTTGGCATTCCAAAATACTTAGTAGTTTCTTCCAGATTGCTACATTTATAGCTAATAAGGAAGACATAATTCAATACAAATACTGAGAGTGCACAAAGTGAACTGGAGAAGTAAAATATCATCTGGTATGAAAACAGAGTTCACATTATTCCAGTGCTAAAAAATAGTTCACGCATTGTGTGAAAACCATAAGGAAAAGCATTTAGCAAAGTTGACAGGAAAAAATGTTTTCCCCAAACAAAACAGTATCAATTGGGGATTTAAATCCAAAGCGTGATCATTTACTTCGCTTCAGTTATTCACTTTGTTTATTAAACTAATATGCATGAATCAATTTCACTCTGTTTGTTAAACTAATATAAAGGAGTCACCTTGCATATTATTATTCCTTCAAGCCTCATTACTCCTCATTCCTTTCTGTTGACTCTTCTCACTGCATATGCACCTGATCTCCCTTGCACATGTAAAATAAATTGACCGAGCCAAGTATCAATAGCATGAATCCAACAAATTCTTGCTATAGAGCTGTATATACCGTTTTCCACGGCTATGGTGCACCATATATTCAGATGGAAACTAAGATCTGAACTAAATTAAAAAAGTGTGAACTTGCCTGTGAACAAATTGTACAGGCACAATTTAAATACTTTGGAAACAGAATTGTGCAAAAGGAAAAATATAATAACCTCTCCATTATGGACACCTGCTCTGCAACGGGTAATTGTCTAACCAGACAGTAAATGCAAAAATTGGCTGAGAACATACAAATAGTAAGCTTCTTGGAGAAAACGATCAAACAAATTCTGACATACAAAAAGTAAGCTTCCTAGAGTGATAATTTTGTAAGATGCAGTGCAACATTTTAATTACACGTGAAAAAGCAAACCTCCAGTGAAAGATCGAAGATACTGGTGCTCCAAGACTGTGGACCTAATTCCAGATAATTCATTCAGGTCAGGAATAATTTGAATTGACATCTTTAGTCGCAGTGCAGTCGTTATCTTAACACATTCTGGTCTTTTTGTACTCATGTACATCAGCTGCAGCACTTGTAGTATCCGCAACTGCAATTCCATCACTAAATGTATCATCGAGAAATAAGATGTCCATTAGACACTCTAATATCTCCCCGCAATATTTTAAAAGAAGAAATAGATAAATAAGTAAATATTCATATGATATACATTTTGAAAGAAAATCATGCTAAAATTAGAAGTCACAAAGTTGCAGAGGGGCGATAAAGTACTAAACACATATCGGATAAATATTTATGCATACCTAGAATTTGTTGGCAACAAACTGCTCCAATAAAGTTTTAATATATAATACTTCATTTAGCAAAGCGAAGAACAGGGAGACTAACCAGGATACTACACCTTAGTTTAACTTAGTAGACAGAGCATCAAAGAATGCCTTCATCGGCCATTGCACTGTCCTTTTGGGAACTCCAAGAGTATAATATTATCCTTCTTCAATTCATATCCATGCAAACAACAAAGATCTCAATTCTTCAGTTCATATCCATGCAAACAACAAAGACCTCAATTTTAATGAAATGGTTAGCTGCTTGCTCATCTTGTCCCTGCAAATAGTTTACGAAGTTCATCCCTTTATGTCCAGGGAGAGGCATTAGACAATATACAAAATGTACTTCAAGGTATTGCTTTAGATCGATTGCAGCACTGAAACACAATAAAACTGGTTTTGCTTCAATGATAACATTGGTGCAATATTAGACAGTACTGATGCTCCCTGCGTATACCAAAGAAGCTCCCTGTGTGGTCCATTGAATTAGGATGCAGAGAAGAGATGGTTGACCTGAATTGCAAGAAAGGGGTAGTAAAGGGTGCTTGGGATTACTAACCTGATTTAGGGATGAACCTTGTTTGATAATTGCTGTTGTCTACACGCTCGTGAAATCATCTGAAAATCAGCGGTAGCAGGATTGTGAAACGCCAGATGTGGCCGATGGCAAGCTCCTACTGGGATTGCAACGCCATGAGGGGATACGATGCCTTCGCACCACGGCTGCAAATCCATTGATAGGGGCTGCACAGGATCAACTGAAAGGATGCAAATCCATTGATATGTTAAAATCTTCAAACTCTACGGCCAATTTCTGATTGGCAATTGTGAATGATCAAGAAAACAAATGGTGATCCACAAATTGACACATCACAAAAACATGTAAAATAGGAGAAATTGGTATTACCTTAGGGTTCAGGGGGAACAGTGTTGGTTCCTTTAGTTCCTACTCAAATCTGACGGGAACCAATCAGCGCAAGATGAACCTATGAAGTGGATTGCGGCGACGGCGGAAAGGGAAGAAATCGATTCCGGCGAGGGCATCGGTGGAGTACGGCGGTGTCGGTGGAAGGGGACGACCCTCCGGCGGCGCGAACGGGGAATGTGAGGAGGAATAGGGCGGAGGAGGAGCACCGGCGGGAAAAGCCGCCGGCGACGCCGGAAGGGGACGAAATCGGTTCCGGCGAGGAGGAAGAGGGCGGAGGAGGCGGAGCGCCGGCGGGAGCAGCGTTGGACTGAGGCGGGGCGAGGAGGAGCGCTAGTCCAGCGTGGTCAGCGCACGCTCATCGCGCGAGGAGGAAGCGGACAATAGCTGGCAGATGGATGGATGGGCGTCGCTGGCGGATGGATGGACGATCTGGATCAGGACAGAGGCAGATGGACGGTAGAGTTTGATCGAGGTGATTTCACCCGTAGGATTAGAGGGGGGCAACTCCTCCTTTTTATATTAGTATATACTCCCTCCTTCCCTAAATGTTTGATACCGTTGACTTTTTTAAATATGTTTGACCGTTCATCTTATTCAAAAAATTTTGTGAAATGTGTAAAACTAAACTATATGTATACATAAAAGTATATTTAACAATAAATCAAATGATAGAAAAAGAATTAATAATTACTTAAAGTTTTTGAATAAGACGAACAGTCAAACATTTTTTAAAAAGTCAACGGTGTCAAATATTTTAGAATGGAGGGAGTATATAGATATAGATATAGATAGATATAGATGTGTACTCATCGTAGTGCTCTGCTCTGCAGAGTAGCAAACGATTGCGGTGATGCAGATGTGCGGCTTGCGAGGGTGCAGTGGGCCGTGGGCCACCAGCCTGTGGCGACAACGGCCTGTATGCTGGCTTGATTGTGAAGCAAACAGGACAAAAACGTGGAGGCATGGGCCAAGGCCCAAGGCAAGAATTTCCGTGAGGTATTAGCATCTGAACCAAGATGAACAGCCCTCTCTCTCTCAAAGAAAGAGAAAGAAAGAAACAACCAAGATGAACAACGATCCCTCTCGAAAAATAAAGAAACAGATGAAAACTGGAAGACAAAGCAAGTTGTTCATCTAGAGCCTCGTGCAACATTTCCATGTTCACGTTGATCACATCCCTTACAAGCTCTAATTACCAGTAAGTTTTAGACTACTAGACCATGCCAGAGAAGATGACTACATGACAAACCATGTCGCGTACCGTAACACTTGGACACAGTCACAACACAGATGAAGCGAACACAACAATGATCACCGGCCAGAGAAAAAAAAACTGAATGAACATAGCAGAGAAAAAAATTCGAGATGAGTTCAGAATCTGAGACCTTGTCTTCGTCACCTCTCGCCATGATATATATACTCTTCTCCATTATTTACAACTTTGTAGCTTGCTGCTAGATGTTCTCGTTTGATGGCTCTTGGAAGTTGGAAACCGGCTTATGTAGTGATCATGAGCCAATCATACAACTGGTCTCAATTGGACTGGTCAATATGATGGCATAGGAATTTTGGAAGGAGGCGAGCCTGCAATCTGCAGGGACTCCTTTCAGCTTTTCACACTTTTACAGTTTTTTCAGCTCGGAGCTCGTACTCGCAGCATCCTTTGTTGATCTGTGCTTTTCTTTTTGGTGGGAATAACTCTCAAATGCTTTTCTTTTAGGCTCGATTTGCAACTCAATTTCAACTGTAAGCTAATACTAGGGTAGTAGGGTTGAACCTAATTAAATGAACTTATTCGTTTCCCTATCTGAGACCATGCAATATAGTATCTGTCTTTTAATACTGATGTAATGCCAATATATGGGACACCGCTGCCTATGAGCCGTTGGATAAAGCTAGCCGTGGCGGAGCGGGGATAGATTCTGTTCTGGAGCGTTACTACTACACTAGACACTAGTAGTACAGTGGTACTAGCATATGAACCAAGATGAAAAACAATTAAACCTTGCACAAAGAAATGTTGAGGAACAAGACATGAACACGGGAAGCCAGAAAATAGTCAAGTAGTTCTTCAGATAGAGATGCATCATACGGCATATTATGAAGTTCCTTACATGTTCTAGTGGCCAAGCAAGAACCACAAAGGACGTCACAGTGGAACACACAACATCCGTGCCCATCAACAACCGAGATACACAACACGACTAGCTACATATGAAGCTACTAGTACTAGATAACACGACTAGCTACTTAAACGCCATGATCCTTCCCATCGACTGAATCTGGTTGATCTGGTCGACACGACGACGAACACGGTACACATCGATCTAACCGTCCATATCCCCGTTCACACGCACGTAACGCTGAAAGACAATGAGAACTACTCCAGTTAGTACAAATTAGCGAATTACTACACATTTACACGTGACGAGAGAACAAATTGTGTACACAAGCTCACTTACCAGGACGGTGCACGCGGCGACGGCGAGGTTGACGGCGGAGGCGACGCCGGCCACCGGCCACTCCAGCGAGGTCGCCGCCACGAAGCCGCCGTAGCTGATGTAGGCGAGGAACATGCCGGAGACGGACGCACAGGTACTGACGGCGAGCAGCCACGCGACCCAGCTCGCCGCCGGCGGATTCCTCTTCTTCTTCTCATCCATCAGCAGCACGCTCGCGAGGTGAGCCTGCGCCGCCACCGTGAGCAGCGCGAAGGCGAGGCAGGTCTTGGCGACGTCCTCGCCGCCGGAGACGCATCCTCCGGTGATGCCGCCGGCGCCGGGGCAGACGGCCCAGCCAGCCATCCTGGACGAGAAGAAGACGGCCATGGCCACCATGAACACGGTGATCAGGTAGGACAGAAACTTGGCCTGAGAAAAGAAAAAAAACGAAGCAGAGAAGAGGCAATATATCAAGCGTAAGAACGCATTTTGAGACAAGTTTTGCAGAGAAAATCTGATCAGAGACGAGTTTAGGATGTAATGAACCTTGTGTTCGTCACCGCTCACCATGATACTCTTCTCCATTGTCTATAAACTTGCTGCTTGATGTTTCTGGTTTTGGTGGTTCTTGGATAGCTGGATGCCCTGGTTATATATATAGACGGTAGTCTTGTGTTCATGAACCAACCATACAATTTGATTCAATTGGGTGGTCAATGACTCATTTGTTGGTGCATTGGTAAAAGTTTTGGAGGGTGGTGACTGGTGAACCTGCAGCTGCAGGACTACTTTCGAGCTTCACTTTTTGAGTTTTCGTTTCTGCTCCTCTTTTTCTCATCCTTATCTCTATGCAATGTAATATATCAGATTTTTTGCTACCGCTGTACTGCAAATTTATGAATTTATTAGCAACATAGTACAAGTATGGTAGTGGTGTGTGTATCCATTGCACATGACTGGCCCCATTGTCACCTGTACTGTACTCTTCGGGTAGCAGTACAGTACTAGCTCGAATCCTTTTGTGTCGGAAGGAAACGATAAGGTTTGATTTCACTATCATATCAAGATTCAAGCAGCGACAAAAAATGGCAGTCTGCTACTACTGTAGCTGCAAACCTGCAATGCAGTGCAGGTGCGGCAACACCATAGCCTCGTTCCCATCTGTCACGTTGCAATGCTGCACACAAGTTTCAAACCAATTGTACGACGGGTCATGGACACAAGTTTCATGGCCTTGTTTGGATCCTCCGGGCTATTAAATAGCCGACTGGAGAAGCTGTCCACCGGGCGCCATCACATCATCGAGATACATCGGCGCCTCCATCTTGTTGTCGACATCCACGATGATACCTTCGCCGGCGGCGTTGCCATCTTCCCCACGCTCAGGTGAAAGTTGATCTGAATCCCAAACAAATTCAACAGGGTCTTCCATAGATGGGAGGATGACGTCACGAGAGGGCGACGCGAGAGGCGATTCGGGAGGCGACGTGGAGAGCAAGGTGGGGATCTCCCGCCGGCGATCGCCGCCGGTGACGAGCGACCTTGGCGGAGCAGCGGGAGGAGAGGAAACGCATGGCCCATGGCTATTGGGAACGTGTGGTTTGGGAGGAGCCCAGCCATGGCGGCCCAACACTGTACATGCTGAGGTGGAAAGGAGCAGCCATGGCGCTGGGTCCCCATCCATGGCCCCCCATGGCAGTGAGAAGAGGGGAGATTTTGCTTTTCAAGGTAAATTAACTCATATTGAATCTCTCTTCGAGCACTTGAGGATTGGCTCTGAGAAGTTAGGGTTTCGTGAGGGGTGGCGGAGAGCTCCACCAGATCTGAGGAGGAGCGAGGAGGAGTGGCCACGAATTGGTGTGGGGGGTGGCGGAGCAAGGTGGCGAGGGACAATCTCCGGTGATTCTCGCCGGTTTGCGAAGTTTGTTCAGGGGAAGAGGATGGCTAATCAGGGTGGTGGATGGCGAGGGCGGAATCAGCCACGGCAAGATTTCCGCAACAATCAGTGGGGTGGTCATGGGGGAGGTGGTGCTGGGAGGAGATGGGATGGTTTCCAAAATCCTCCAAATCAACCTCCTCAATTTCAACCCACAAGGCGATTCCATGGTGAAGGATCTGAGGGAGACAAAGGGGCTGATTCAAAAGGCCCCCAACAAGGTCAGGAGAAGCAGGAACTGCAGTATCGCCCGGTGAAGCTGAAGGAGATTGATCAAGGGCAGAAAGGAGAGACAGAGGTGCACACAGAGCAGCAGAAGGGGGACCTTCCCAACTCTGGCTCCACGCCTGCTGGTATGGCTACTAATCAGAAGCTTGTTTGTCTTAGATGCAAAGAGAAAGGTCACCTGGCTAGGGACTGCCATGCTAGAATTTTCTGTACCAATTGCTCCAAGCCTACACACAAAACTGAAGATTGCCTATATGATAAACAACCTAGACCAGCTGCTAAGTTGGTTGGCTATGGAGCTCCTGGACTTGGATGTATCCTGATTCAAAATGTCAAGTCTGCCCCACCTAGAGAACATATGAATCCCATGGCCATGGTCAAGATTATCTATGGGGAGGGTCTCACTGAAACTAAGTTGGAAGAGGGGTTCAAACAACAATTCAGATGGAACTGGGAATGGAGGGCCAAGAAGCAGACAAATGGTACTTTCCAGATTAGATTCCCAAACAAGTTAAGACTGTCTGAATTATCAAACTTTGATCATTTCAATGTGAAAGGCACAAAGGTGGAAGTCAATGTCTCTGAATGGACTAGTGAATCTGCAGCCATAGGGAAGATGCATGTGGTGTGGGTGGTAATAGAAGGTCTGCCTGATGAAATGAAGGGGTATCAGGCTCTCTTTGAGGTGGGATCCAATCTAGGAGTTGTCATGGAAGTGGATATGCCAATGTTAGCTGCAAAAGACATTGTCAGAATGAAGGTTGGAATGATGGACGTCAAACAATTTCCATTATGATCCTATCTACACCTGAAGCCCTGTTGTATGAAGCTTGTTTTAATCTGGAGTCAGTAGTAGAAATGGGATGGCTTAAGGGACAACAGCTTGATAAGCAATAGGAAACTACTCTAAGAGTTGAAGAGAAGGAAGAACAGAAGGTGCTCACCAAAGGTAAACAAGTGGAAGAGATGAAAGAATTGACTCAACATGTGGTTGGGGCTCAACAGAAAGGAGATTGTAGTCAGGCTCAGATGGAATCAGTTCATAGGTTGGTTGAAGAAGACAGAATCAAAGCCATTCAGATCCTGCAAGACAGTCAGTTGGCTTTGGCCTTGCAAGAAGAGGATATAAAGGGACATCTCAATGAAGATAAGGGGTGTGATGAAAATCAAACTGCTCTTCTGATTCTGAAAGATGATGATAAGATGGTTTCTCAGGAGGTATCAACAGCCAAAGAGGTGCAAAGGAGTCAGCTGGTTGCTAGTAGTGAGGATGATATAGAAGGAGAAGGTGAAGAGGGGAAAGTGTAGCTGGGGGAAAGTGAGGAGTTATTTGACTCTCAAGATTCTGAAAATGCATTTGCTAAGAGCTTGGGAGTTGTGTTGCCTGAAGAAGAATTGGGAAGTCAAGAGGAGGAAAGAAGAGCAAGCAAAAGGTTCAGAGATAGGGAAGACAAGAAGACTATGGAACTGGCTATGGGGAGAAAAGAGGCTCAGAATGCCTTTGTTAACAGAGGTCAGGATTCATCTTCTCCTCATGATAAAAATATCTCTTTAGCTAATTTAGCTAGTCTCATAGGAGTGAGTCTTGGATGCTCGATTGATGCGGTTGATTCTAATATAAAACTGATTAATGATTTAGAGGAAGCAAGAGTGAATCTTTTCCTTAAAGAACAACAAAAAACTGGTGATAACGGCAGCCTTGAAAATAAAAAAGGAGATGGTAGTGAAATAGATGATGTCTTTAAAATTCTGAATGAGTCTGATTCTGATGATATGTGGTCTGATTTTGATTTCACTGAAACCTTTTTATCTCAATCACATAAAGGAAAGAGAAGAGCTGATAGAGGAAACCTTGCTATTGTCAAGGTCACTCCTATGACAACTAAACAGAAACCTGGGAGAAAACCAAAAAAGAAAAAATGAAAGGTATTATTTGGAATATTAGAGGAATGAAGGATCTAGAAAAACTGAAACATCTGAGAGATATTATGAAAGAACACAAGGTTGGTTTTATTGGATTACAAGAAACAATGAAACAAGATTTCTCTGTCTATTTTCTAAAAACTTTAGGGCAAGGGAGGGAGTTTATTTGGGATTGGATCCCAGCTTCTGGGAGGTCTGGAGGGATTCTTTTGGGTCTAGATGGAGAAAAATTTAAAATGCTGGCTGTGAGAAAAGGTCACTTTTTCTTGAAAGCTACCGTGGAGAATTTGGAAGATAAACAGGAGTGGGATTTAATGGTTGTATATGGTGCTGCACAAAAAGAACATAAAGAAGAATTCCTAAGAAAACTTGCACAGGAATTGAATTTACAGAAAAAACCTCTAATTTTGGGGGGTGACTTTAATATTATTAGAAGGGAGAGTGAAAAAAACAAACCAGGGGGTTGCAACAGATGGAGTTTTGTTTTCAATGCCATTATTGAACAAGCTAACCTAAGAGAGATTGACATGGGACCAAGCACATTTACTTGGCGCAGTTGTCATGAAAATCCTACTTTTGAAAAATTAGATAGAATCATGATAACGAGTGAGATTGAACAAAAATATCCTTTGCTGACAGTCCAATGCCTAGAAAGAGTTTTCTCAGATCATAACCCTCTGTTGGTGGTCCTGAAGAATAATTGCAGCAAGAATACTCCTTTCAAATTTGAAATTAGTTGGTTCATGAGGGAGGATTTGGATAAGATTGTCAGTGAAGTTTGGTCTTCTTATAATGATAATGGGTCCAGTTTAGATGTCTAGCAGGGGAAACTGAGGGCTGTTAGGAAGAGGCTTAAGGGCTGGAACATAAATTGGGAAGGCAAATATAGAAGAGAAAAGGCTGAAATTTTAACTCAAATTGACTTGTTAGACAAAAAAATCGAGATGAATGGGATGACTTGTCTTGATAGAGAGGAAAGAAGGGTTTGGGAGCTAAAATTAAAGTATACCATTAGAGAAGAGAGAGTAAAGTGGTTTCAGAGGTGTAAAGACCAGGAAATTTTAGAGGGGGATAATAACTCTAGATACTACCATGCAAAAGCTAATGGAAGGAGAAGGAAAGGACAAATACATAAATTGATTCAGGAGGAAGGTGTGATTGAAGGTCAACATCAGCTCATGTCTTTTATTACCAATTTTTATAAAACCTTGTTTGGGAGTGGTGGCCAATCTGCAAGTATTTCAATGAACATGGAGGATTTCTCTAAACTAAGGGAAGAAGATAGAAATGAATTGATTAAAGTAATTTCAAAAGAAGAAGTGAAAGCTGTTGTGGTAGATATGAAGAAAAATAGGGCTCCAGGTCCTGATGGTTTCCCTATAGAATTTTATGAACACTTTTGGGACCTGATGTCACACCCCGAAGTTCTTTCCCGAGCCTAAATTGGAGTTTTAAATGGTCTCAAGAAAATACCTGTGTCAAGCAAGAGTAAACCTTAATAAATTAATGCAAATAATAATCGGAATTGGCATGTGGAATTTTTCTTGAGTTCTACATGTCGAAATTCGCTAACAGGATTTTTAGTGAAATTTTCAGAGCTCTAGAAATAATTTTAACCAATTAAAATTGAGCACATGCAATTTTAATCCCAGGAAAAATCCTTTTTCCTTCTTTTTTCTTTTTCTTTCTTTTCTTTTCTTTTTTTTTTCCTTTGAATGGGCCGCCAGCCCATTCCTCCTTTTTCTCCCC